CTCTCTCTCTCTCTCTCTCTCTCTCTCTCTCTCTCTCTCTCCCTCTCTCTCTCATCCGAAACGCCGGCCGTGAATGAGACCTCTCCGTTTTCATAAAGGCAGAAGTAACATCGCGCGCGTTAAATCCGCGTTCTTCCAGAGCACACTGCACTGGAGGCAGGCGGTTTCATGTCGGCATTTCATTACTTTCGCAGGGTTAGTGACTGCAACAAACTTGGCGAAAGTTCGATCACCGTCTCGCCACGGGGGGCAGCGACAAACCTCACGGAGATCAATGGACTGTGCGCGCTCGTCGGGGCGCTAATAAGCGATCCCTCGCGACAGCCCCATTTCGATTTTCGCGACGCGACACAGCGCACCCTCGGAATATCAGCCGCAGAACGCGCACGTGTGCGCCGACCGATATATAGATTCCGCGGAATACTTCAGATCCTCGTTCTCTCGCTATCCGTGCGCCACTTTCGTTGGGAAAGTAAAAGTTCGCGAAGTCCGCCGATGAAGGTGCGTGTATGTGTGTCGCGAGTCTCATCGATCAAGTGGTCTCGCTATAGCTATCGACCTCTTATGGGCACGAACACGCGTCGTGACGCAGGATCGTCATGCCGTCTCGTCGACGAGCGTTCAAGAGAGAGATGATCTCCTCCGACTCTCGAGGGGGGGAGGGGGGGAGGGGTTATTGCCTTGTCCTCGGGCGCGGAAAATTCGGGCTGAGACGGCGCTCAGACGGCGCTTAATTACCAGCTGGAGGAAAAGAGAACGGGAGAAGCATGAGTAATCGATCCACTTCAACTCGGATGTGAACTCGGCCTTTCCCTCCACGGTGACGGCGACTTCACCTCCTCTCGCGAGTTCATCAATTTCGCTTGTCGACAGTTCCGAAGGACGCGCCGTGAGATTCGAGCGGTCGGACTCGTAGATCCGTCGGTTGAATCGCGAGTAGTTGCTTCATCTTTCTCGCTCCTCTCTTTTTTGATCACTCACGGTGACTCACTTCGGCGATTCATCCCCGTGACGGTGATGGTTGTGGCGACGGCGGCGACGGTGGTGGCGGCGGCGGTCAGCCGCCGTTTGTCGATAAAGCGCGTAATAGCGAAAAAAGGACCCTCTCCTGTGTTTGCAGGACCCTCCCTCGGTCTTCTTTTGCCTAGACGCGCATCTGCCCGATGCACTTAGGGCAATTACCACGTGTTAACGTCATTAGCCTCGTAGTTGCGAGCAGGTGCTCTACATAGAGTGGTATATGGAATTAGATGTCGGTAATCCCATTACCGCGACTCCGTCGAGCGGGTGTTTAACGACCGTTTAAAAAAAAGGGAGCAAGAGAGAAAAAAAGAGAGAGAGAGAGAGAGAGAGAGAGAGAGAGAGAGAAAGAGAGAAGCGCTATCGATCCCCGGATTTCTATGCTACCATTACCGCGGAAGTGACATCGTTAAAATTTCATTCGCGCCGTTCTTTACATCGTCGCCGGGACCTCATCGCTGACGTATCGCGGATTCGCGTTGGAGAAATAACGTTTCTCACCCGCACGCTCGCGCCCGCCGCCGATCGGTGCGCCTGAGACTCTTCGGCTCTGGTCGTCTTCGGAGGATTTCACTAGGGAAGCGGCTTATTACGCAACATTGCCCGCTGCGTGTCCAGAGCGACGTCACCGTTATTATTTATACGCGAAAGTGGAAGTAGCGTACGCCGCTGCGTTATTTCATAGAGAGAAAATCGATCTCCCCGATGTGTGGGAGAGAGAGAGAGAGAGGGAGAGAAAGAAAGAGAAAGAGCGAGAGACAGAGAGGCGCTTTTCTGGAGGACACCCACGATAGTACGATGACGTCTCTAATGGTTGTTCCACTTGCGGGTAACCTTGGGTCGAGCGATTATCTTGCCGATAATGCCTTTGGGATTCGCGTTCTCGGAACGTCGCTTTACCATGGACATGCTATTTAGCCGTGTCCATCATTCTTGGGGACGATTAATAGCGTATATAGCCTCGTTCGAGCCTCGCCTTTCTCTCCCCGCGAAATTTACACGCGAATCTTCCTTCCTCTTTCTCCCTTTCTTCCCTTCTTCCGAACGGAGAAACGGATCCGCTATCGAAAGTCGGCGGGAACGGGGAGTCACTTTCGAAAGAGCGCGAAACTTTTCGGGAAGAACTGTCGATTACCGTCGGAAATCACGCGAGATCCGCGAGCGATATTCTTACAATATGTTGGTCGTTCAGTTTAACGCGAGACTGTTCGCTATTCGTGCGAGAAGCGTGCCTGATAAAATCAGGCCAGAGTTGGCTTTTCCTCGAGTTGGCTTTTCCTCGACTTGAAGTATACTAATCGTTCAATGATTCCTGGTACTCTTCGGGACGGAAGGTGTATCTCCGCGCGGCCATATCGATATCGAGCGATTGATGTCGACGATTAATATCGATACAGTGTCTTCCACTCTTTCAGAAAAGTAACAGGCCTGTCGCAGAAGTCTGTTTATTCTGCGAGTACGATGCAATCTGTATGTGAAATATACGATTGTGCTTGCGTTTCTATGAAACGTTTCAGCGAAATCCCTTCAGCGTGTGCGAAAAGAAATCCTTTGTTCCGCAATTTCGTTGACAAATCTTTCGTATCATTCAAGCGAGAATTCAAGAGACCGACTGCTCGATATTCTCTTCGCGATTCGCAACGTTCACCGTTTTTCCCATCGTGTCCACTTCACTTCTCTCCTAGCAAAATTGACACTTCGCCACTTCGCGCCGATCGTATATTAGCGCAACCGACGCTCCGTCGAAAGTGACTTCGTCCACGAGGATTGATCGCGCGATCGTTGGACGGCTTCTCCTCCGTTGGATCATCGATACCGAGCGACGACCTCACGATCGTTTCGGTCCGCAGGGTTATCGCGGCGCCGTGATCTTTTCATCCCGAGGAGGAGAATCGCGATCGCGCAAACACACGCGAGGTGGCCGTGCAACTAACCAACCCCTACGACTGTTTGAAAACAAGCCTGCCTGCCAGTCGGCTGTGCGACTCGCGAGTCCTCCCGCACGGAGTTTGCGCCGTGGTGTGTACGCGCTCTCTTCATGGGGGTGGGATTCCCTTTCATGGTGAAATGCCGGAGCGAAACGTCGACCCGCGGGTTTATGGGCATTTCCAGCCCGTCGCGGACCGAGGGTGTATCACGAAACTTCTGAAATATGAATGTATACGGCTTGTACGCCGAAATTCGTGATTTCTATTCCGGGCCCGTGTATCTCTGTATTGTTATTCTTCTTTTTCTATTCATAACACCAGAATGCCTGAAACAGTTATTCTGACTTACTCGTAATTCTGACACTTTAAAGTTCTCTCTGTTTTCGGTTGATCGTATCAGTGATGACTTCTGAATATATTAAAAATATAATAAAAATATAGACATACATAAAGACACATATAAACACATATATTATAAACTTATATATTATAATCACTTATATGTTATAAACAAATTACAATTTTTAATCATGTTTTCAAATTTGCAATTTTCTACAATAAGATCCGTCATAGTTATTTATTTATTTAACTTATATATACAAACACACACATACATACACACAAGCTGTTCTAGAATTAAGGTAAACATAAGAGTGCCATACGGTTTTGCGATATTTGAAACATTAATTAAAGAAGATTAGTGAATGATCACGCACGATATGGTATATAAGTTGTAATGGTGCCGTCTGCCTTATATTGTTGTATACTTATACATCAGGTCAATAAGAAAGTCCTATACCATTTTGCAAATGACCACATAAATTTTTAGATATTAATTAAAGAAGATTTATGTATTATCGCGTACAATTTTCTTTCAGTAATAATTAAAAATCTACTTGCTTCTTTGCAAAATGATAAAGGATTTTTTGTTTATCCTTGACCTAATATACAAGCACAACGTCATCACATCGCCACCACAACTCATCTACCATATCGCGCGCGTGATCATTCACCAATTTTCTTTAATTAATATCTCAAGTATTGGGAATATCGTAAAACGGTATAGGACCCTTGTTTATCTAATCCATTCTACGTTCCCACAAAAAAGGGGAGAGTCTGGGACACTCTGTATAAATTAAAGTATACAGCAAAAAATTTCAATAAATTAATTTCTTAATTAAATTATATTTGTCTAGTTTAAATTATATGTCTTTTTTTACAATGTTTTTTATAAAGTTGGACTGTACTGAAATGGTACTATATAAATTATTATAGAAATAGTAAATTTAACGATCTGATATATATATGATATATATAATATAAGACATTCTCAGCAATTACAATAATTTTATAGTAAAAAATCGCACGTACATAATATTTTGAAATCAATATATAATATATTTTGACTTTTTATATATTACGAAAATATTGTAATTACATAAGTGTTTTTTTATATCGTATATATTATATCAAAATTCTGTGTAAAATTATAGAAATTTTGTTGTAATTTTCACAATAATATTGCATAAACAGACTGGTAAATGAACACAAAATAAAATATATTTAGGATTAAAAAACTAAAATTTCAGATAATAATTTGTATAGTGTCTTTTTATAACACCGACAATCAAATAAAATGTCAAATGGCCCTCTTGGGAATCCGAAGTAAATCACAAAATAATTAATCGATCTCCTCCGTTACTCTTTCAGTGTGTCCTGCTTCAAAAAGAATAAAAAGATATTTTCCAGAAAAAACAGAAATGGCTACAAGAAAAGCTTAAAGGAATCAAAGTGATTTCATTGAACATTCTAGTGTTAACACTCAAACATCGAAGATCGAGTAAGAAAAGAGCCGATTTACTTTTTCATATGAGTAGTATACTTTCAGAAATCTTGCAGATAATACATATGGTTGTACTCGGTGTTATTTCCTATAAATCTTGTCATCTCCTTGTTACAATTCTCAAAAGTAGCTTGGCATTCTGCTGAATAATTTTCTCCGAAATATCTTTGGGTGTGTTGGATGCCGCAGCACAATTTAACCACTGAATCTGCATGTAATGAAATTCACGGGTATCGTTTCTCGCGATTGCGCCATACGCTCGCTTCTATTCCGTTGAAGTTACATAAGTTTCTGCCTTCGATGTGAGAGGAAACTATTATTCACATTTGTCGCCACCGACAGCTTGATGCTCATTATTCTATTCCAGCTGTTATCCAGCCATTATTTTCCACGATGTTCAGAGTAGATGTAACAATTTTCAAATCGAATCGTTCCGTTATTATTGTAATTGCCACGATGAAAATGTCGGACGACATGGCACGCGTGGGCGAGACTTTACGTTGTGAAAAGAGCGTGAAAGCATTCATCACATACATTATAAATTATAGATGCGATACTCCATGGAAGACAAAGTCAGTCGGGCCGTTTTATCGATTTAGATTCATCCCCTCGATATCAGTCCGGTAGGGTGGAGTATTAGTCCTGTTGCATTAACATTTTCCGCGACCTTCGCCGCAAAAGGTCAAATGTCTTTGTTCAGTACTATGTAGAGTTCGTACAATAGACGCGCGAATAGTCGCCACGTGACGCCGCGATTGCGATTCCGCAGTATACGCTTCGAGACTACTGCTTGTTTCAATTTCTTCAACAATATTCAAAATATGACCGCTTCCTCGTGAGATGCAGAGCGAAGTCGAACATAAACTGTTGATACACACATATAGCGCGCACACTGAACGTGTTTGCGCGTATTTCGAGCTTAAGCAAATTAGTTATTCACAAAAATAATTTGTTATGCAAAACCAATCAAGAAGAAGACGTGTTGGGGGAATGAAACGGGAGAAATGATATCGACAGTGCTGTTATATATAACAGAAAACGTATTTTTATATATTTCAGACGAAATCGTACAATCTCTCTTTTATTTACAATAATCTGTCTGTGCCGCGGAGCGCGCGAGCGCTGTTTATATATATAATATGTATATATATATATATATATATATTTATATTATGTACAATATTTAATGAGATTGAGAGTATGTACGAAGCGGTTGGGCGAAGTTACGCCCGTCGGTGAGGTTGAAAACTTTCGAGTAGAGAGAAAGGAAGCGTCTCGAAGAGTACGTTGTTCATTTATATTGTTAATCGTAAATTTTACATATAAGTAAAGAGACGAGAAAGAGAGACAGAGAGAGAGAGAGAGAGAGAGAGAGAGAGAGAGAGATAGATAGAGATAGATAGAGATAGAGAGAGAGAGAGAGAGAGGGAAATGATATCAGCATGATAAACGCCCGGCTGAAGTAAGTGCAAATGCTATTACAATAATAGCCAAATATCATTGCGAAATAGTGTACAATATGTAAAGTTAATTATCGAGTAATGTCTATTCATCGAGTCGAGTAGAACGACATGGACGAGCTAACGGCCGAAGGCGGCCGTCGTTGCTTTCCGATCGAATGTACTACGTAAACTACCTCGTGTGTGGAAAGAACAAGAGTTGGCGATATTTCCCGATTTACTAGCGATTCGTGCTGGATTTAAAGTCGATTTAAACTCGATGAAAACTGCTTTGAATTGTTTACTGTCTACGCCACCCGTGTACGGTACAAACTATCGGAGCTAGAATTTGTTCGCCTATCTAATGAAGGATCTCAAGCAGGTATTCGCGAGCCTTCTTATCGTCTCGTGATCAGAATCCAAAATCGACTCAAGCTTTTCGTAAAACACGGTGGTGTCCTTCAGTATATCTTCAACTCGCTCTTTTCGTCACACATTTCACAAAGGCAGAAGACGAGAAGCGGTCGTCTTCTCTGCTTGAGATCCCCGTTCTCTATAATATTTATGTATAAACATCTCTCTCTCACGACCAAATGCTCTAATAATGCTGCCTACGACGACTGCGACCGGCTTGGTCGAGCTAACGAATTCAATTGGCACCTAAAACCGATGGGAAACGGATATTGTGCCGTGCGAGTTATCGCTTCTGGATTGTCCGCGTTCGGAGCTCTCCCCCGGTGTGTGCCTTGCTCGAGATGCTCGACTTCTCCATGCTACGTCTTTATGCTAATCGCGTATCACACGAGATCTAATTCTAACCGGTTGCTGGAGAAGTTCCGCCCCCTCGCGGTGCTCTCGCGACGCGAGAAAAGCGCGTTAAGCGTACGCGCGTGCGCGCGCGCGCACACACACGTGAGTTTGATTGGCGCCGTCAATTTCGTCGATTGTGAGCGTCTTGAGCAAAAGTTCTCGCGAAGAAGATGCGTGAGAAGGAGGCAGCAGCAGTATCTCGGTTTATAATTCGTCGCGAGTCTCAAACTGACGTTTGTCCATGTTTATGGGATTTCTAATTTTGATTTTTCCTTCTCTTGGGTTTTTCTTTTTTTTTTTAACATCGCATCAACATGCGTCGTGATATCATCGGATTGTGTGATTTATCTGTCGCCGCGTCAATTTAGACTGAATTGCCAGGTCGACTAGAGAGATGAAATCGATGGACATCTGCGCGATTCATAGACGATCGCGACGAGATCGGTCGTAGTTCAACGAAAATTAGTCTAGCAAGCTTCGAGTGGGGAATGAGTGCCAAAACGTAGGGTCCCATTGGAAGCCTCGCGGGAACGTTTCCAATGTTCAAGGACACCTAGAGTAAGGCCGAGTAAGGATTCACAACCATACTAGATGTAGAGGGTTACGACATGGTTTCCATACGCTTCGAAACAAACGTTATCGAGAGCACTTCCGTTCAACAGTCGCGCTTTCCGAGTGATCAAAGAATGCGGCGAACTAAGACACCGACAAGCTAAAACGAAATGATTTGTTCACAGTTTCGCAGCAGTTTCTTAGTTCGCTGAATGTCCAAATGATTGAATGCGCAATCGAACGTTATTCGGTGAATCTTCCGCGCGCTAGAAAACGCGCTTCAGACGTTCAATGGCGTCGTTTACAATTAATTAAGTTTTTTATGTATAGCACGTGTATTAATTTATTTAGGTTCTCTTTGGCGTTTCTGACGGAATAGATATTATTGCTGAGCGATTTGCGCGAGTGTACGAGTTTTAGTGGACGACGTCGTTTCGTAGCTTACGGAACGCAGTTCGCGCGTCCCCGTAAAGAATTAACTTAAGAGTATCTTTATCACTAAGGCTATAAACTATGCGCACAATGCGTGCCAGCGTTCTCGTGCGTTTCATGTTTTAATATATAGTAGTATCATATTTTAATATATAGTGTTTTAATATATATATTCATAAATTTATATATATATATATATATATATATATATATATATATGTATATGTATATATATATACATATATATACGCATTATATATATATATATATATATATTATATATAATATATATTATATATAATATATATATATATATATATATATATATTTATTCAAACAGCACAGATCTCCACAGGATATCCTCTCTCTAAAGACGTTCTGAGAACGTCCCTACGTCCTGAGAATATCAACAGGATGTCCTCTAGAGATCTAGTGTTGTCTGGATATACAGGGTGAGTTAGTTCATTTCAAATATTTCCACTCTTTTAAACAATTTAGGAAAACAGTGCCTACAAAAATTTATAGTTTCAAAGAAGACAATAATTTTTTTTTCGTGAAGGATATTTATAGATTTCAAGATCACCTTAAATTATTTTAACGGAATCATGATATTATATTTTCTAACATAAATCAATTCCTCGGAAATCTAAGGAATCTAAAAAATTGATTTATGTTAGAAAAACCGTATAATTACGTTAAAATAATTTTACTTAAAATAGAATAAACTTTACTATAAAGTGACCTTCAAATCTCCTACATACTTCCATTCACAAGAAATTAATTGTCATTACGTTACGTATCCTTCGAAATCATAAGCACTTTTGTTGGTGCTATTTTCTTATAGTCTGAAATACCGAAGATATTTGAGATGAACTTTCTATCAGACTCATCCTATATATTTACATATTTTATATTTATATTCTCTGTATAATTAGAATCTCTCTCTCCACGACGTGACTCGCGTCCGCGTACAAAATTCGTAACAACTCTTATATATCGATTTCGATAGAATTACGATCGGTAATATTCACAGGCTTAACTTACTGCCTAGCCTTAACTTACGTTTCTTGGTGCGGAAGCGAATTTCGATAGCGAACCACGTCACACTCGCTTCACTTCTTCCTTCACCGGTAACATTTGCACCGAAGCGAAGTTTCGCAAATCTTCGTTGGAACTACTATTTACGCATTTGTGACAGAAGAGATTGGCAAATTTTGAACGAAAATGTGTCTCACACTGTGATTTTTACAAAAATGCCTATCCGATTTTCGAGGACTAGAAACTATATCATGATAGATCGTAGTTTGATCTACTTGAAAGAATGGCAGTAACAAAAAGGCGCCGATGTTACTGATTCCAATCAAGAGTTCAAGAGAGACAGGTGAGACAGGTGAGGAGAAATTCTGACAACCGCAAATGCGCTTTCTAGTGCAGCGAGTAACATGGTTAGCCCGACACGAGTCCGCATTTGGAATCCATCTTTTTGTTTGGAGCTCGACGGGGTGAAGAAATTCACGCGACCCGCGTCGAGCTGCAGGATTCCCGCGAAAGCTCGCACTGCTTCCATCGACACTTCGCATTTCGACATTGATCGTCGAAGGGGCAGCTTTACGTGACTTAAGTCGTAAATTCGCGGCCGTGTAACTTAGTCTAAACCTGATGCTGCTCTGTAAAACCTAATCTGTGCCGTTTGAAAACTATCATCCAGCTTAAATTATCACTTAGTAGGAAGGCGCGCCTTTTTTATCACGGCTCAGCCCGAAACACACACAGAAGCCCATTGTTACCGTCGTATCTTGACCTCTCCGAGTCCATTACCGTAATGGTTTCTCTATTTCGCAGATGTAGCACGTTTCCGCGATGACACCGTCGCGTGTTTTGAACCACACCCTTCTTGAAACTCGCATGGAATACTGATAGATAATTGAAAAGTCCGAGCTCTCATCTTCACGGCCCACTTTACATCGTAAATTTAAGGTGTGCTCATCGCAAAGATCTCGCGCGAGCGATTCTCCCGACGTTCGCTGATTCTTCACTTCGTCATTTAAGATCCGAGATTATCTTTACTTTGATTGAGTGCGTATAATTAATGTTGGTGCAATGGAATGTCGAGAAAAAGAGAGACAAAGAGAGAGAGAAAGAGAAACGTCTTTCATGTCATCGACCTAAAACCTAGGCGCACATTTCATTTATTGAAAGCACGATTCAGAGCAGATTGAGAAGACAAAAAGAAGTCGGAGATAGCGTCAAGCATAATCCCAAGTGAGTGAACCGGTAAGAAGCGGCAATAAGAAGACTTTACTCTGCTCTTCGTGAATTTCCTTTAAGAAGCGCTAATGCTCGATCGCTTAAATTTATAAGGTAAAGTACGCTGGAGCCATTCGGAGATCATTTTTCTGGCATCACTCCCGCGCAGGGGGGTGTGCCCTTGGTAGCAGTCAGTATTCCTCTTCGTCTTCCTCGAACTCGTCCTCTGCCAAGATGCTGCAAGAACGGAAAGCCACGAAATCACGGAAACAGAAAGAGACGTAGAGGTGACGTGATGTACGGAGGAATTACTTTGACAACTGAGGATCCTACGAAAATAAAAAGAAAACTCGCCTAAGTGTGCTGAAAATAAAAGAAAGAAAATTACGTAATGTGCGACTTAAAGAAACATCCAAGTGACGGGCTCGACGCAACAAAACCATTTCACACGGAGGAGATTTCGCAGTCCCGGTTAGAGAAAACGAGGAAAATGAAAAGCAACGCACGTTTATTTCGCTCTCGGAGACGTGCTCAGTTTTCCCGTTAATTCCCGTTCATTTATAATATTCGATTGTTGTCGTTTCGCGGTCGCCGAGAGAACGACTTCAAAGTAATTCCGTGCGATTTTCAGTTTCTGCTAGCCGCGCATGGGCACTGCATACATACACTTACTCTTCCTTTCTAGCATACTTGTCGATGAGATTGCGACCTGGACCGCCGCAGGTCCTGCCCACGGGCGGACAATACCAATAGCATAGCACGCCGACCGTCACGGCGAACACCACGATAGGCACGATCAAGGCCAACACCAAGTGCCTGAGATTCTGATCCCACGAGTATCTGCGGACAGAAGATAGCGGACTATGCTCTGTGCTAACCGTAGTTCGACATTCACGGAAACCCGTTTGAATTCAGATCTCGACCAATACACTGAGAAGAACAAAATAGTTGATCTCCCATACAGTACAGAGGTTTCAAAAAGCTTTCAGAAAGATTTCATAAGCATTGAAATCTTTGAATTAAAATTATACTTAGAATTATAGTTATTTCTTGTAGCCCCCCCCCCCCCCCCCC